ACTACTACTACTACTGCTACGACTACGACTACGACTACGACTACGACTACGACTACTACTACGACTACGACTACGACTACGACTACTACTCCTACTACTGCTACCACCTACTACTACTACCACTACTACTACGACTTCGACTACGACTACGACTACGACGACGACGACTACGACGACTACTACTACTACTCCTACTGCTATTGCTACTGCTACTGCTACTACGACTACGACTACGACTACAACAACGACTACAGCGGCGACTACAACGGCGACTACTACCACTACTACTACTACTACTCCTACTGCTATACTGCTATACTGTAATACTGCTATACTGCTTTACTGCTACTACTGCTACGACTACTACCACCTCCCCCAACAACAACAACAACAACTACTACTACTACTGCTACTAATTACTGTCCTTTCCCCATTTTCTGTTTCTTCGCTGTGAATATGTTTCCTTTTCATGTTTATCCCTCTGGAATATGTTTTTTGATGTTGATCTTTTTTTGGTTGATCCCTCCTTTCTCTGTGTGGAACGCAAATACCACAGCGAGGAAGTTTTAGCCAAGTAGATGGCGCACCATGGAGCAACCAAACACAAGTTTTTTGCTAAGTAGATGGCGCATCGTTTTTGGCACTGACAAATCCTGCCGCCACAATAGCATTTTTTTCGGTGTGGCCTGAAATTCATTTTCGTGTGAGTATATGTAGATGGCACTCTCTTCCAAATTGCACATGCGCAAAGCACTCACCCCACCTCTTAGTTGTTTCCAAGCAGTCGGCAACCGAAAAGATTGCAGCACCTTGCAGTGACGAATGTCATCCAAACGGCCGCGCCTGTTGCACCTGCTTTAATACCAACATGCCAGCACCTGCACTTTGATGCCGAAGTCATCTCGCTTTCCTTCTTTTGGATGGCGGTGTGGCGGCCTCTGCGGCCTCAGCCTGAGTGAAACCGAAATGGAAGCAAAGCAATAACGCAACCGATATCACAAAAAGGAAAGCATTGGAAACCTGGCTGAAACAAAACACTCAGAAATCATAAATACCTTACAGAACAGCAAAAACAAGGACAAAAATCTCCAAAGATCTCCAAGCACGCGCCGGGTGATTTCTGGCGTTCGGACTCTTGTGCCACCATATTTGGCCTGGGTTGGAACAATTCCCCTGCCTCCTGTTTCTCAAACTTTAGCATCAGAGTACAGAGAGTGAAAGCTTAACTATGGCGTCGGGCTGCCGATCTGCTTGTTGGGAGTGTGTGCAAATTGAAGCCACGAGTCTATATACTACCGAAAAACGAGATAGGAGTTGTGAAAGTATGGTGGGAAACAAGAATCCTATGTCATCATGCAATAGCCTATACGCCACAACTCCTATCTCATCAGGTCAAAGCATACAAAAATGACCCTGGCACACACAATTATGTTCACACATAAATGTTTGAGATGTCATGGTTTGAGGAGGTTTTTGACATGAAACCACACATGACCTAGGAGTATTGCACCAATATAGCGTGTGGCAACTAGGAGATGAGATAGGAAAGCGTTTGTGCAAATTCCAGGGTGCCTACTTCCTATGTCATCTTGACCAAGGTTCGACAGATGCACGCATCACTTCAGAATTTAGAATTTTATCGACAGCCCCATGGCCTCATGGCAAAAAGCAATAAATCTATTTGAGCTTGGGTGGCAAGAAGCCACATGACATAGGTCAGGCGGTGGGAAAAACTTAGGGAGCGCGCCTAAGTCCTGAAGCTTAAAGCAGTCATATTTTCCCTATGGGAACGGTATTTATACATATGTTTTTTTGAAGTCGTGTGCTGGCAGAGCGTCCACAACTCCTATGTCATCCTGCTGTGTACTACACTTGGCAACCTTGTCTACTGATTGATGACTTAGACGTTGTGGCCCCCAACTCCTATCTCATTAGTCCCGCAAATTCCTATGTCATCAGCCCTGAGTAGATAATATATCTGCAAATATCAGACCTAAATAGATCTGCTTGCGGCAAAGGTATGTAAGGTATGTGGGGCGTTCCGGAACCTGTTCTCACTCACATATCCCGATAATGAGCTCTGCTGCTAAGATCTAGTTGCAGATGTTGCAGCCTACAAACAACTCAAGCGCACACGTCTGATATCTGTGCCTGTCATCTTGATTCTAGATGCTACTTCTAATCGGCATACTCTCACTGGGCTCCGTGGTTCGAACTCGTGGGGCTGGCATTTCATTTCACTCTATCACTATATATATGTCCATCTCCAAGATTCCAATCGTCCTCCAACTTTCAACGTTCAAACAACGATCTTCAGGTGCTATTCTATCCGCACCATCACTCGGCGCGCCCCGGTTTCACACAATATGCGATTGACCCTGATGAGGAACCATGTGAATGCACAAGGGACTTGGTTCCTGGATCATATGATCAGCCATCAGAGTTTACACACCTGCCAGCTGAGATCACTGCAACAAAGGCCGGCACATTGAACTTCCGCCTTGGCACAAAGCTTTGTAAAAGCTTGGATACTGTGATCATTCAAGCAAAATCCTTTTTGCACGCATATTTCGGGTTTGTGATGCAATCCGCTCAGCAACTTTCTCTGCATCCTAGCCAGAAATGCTTGGGAGCACCAGAAGTGGCCTCCGGCAGGAAAGGAACTTTGCACGACCTGTAGACTTATATGTATATATATATATATGTTACTGGATGCAACCACACTCCTCTTGATGCGAGTGTCTCCATCAAAGGTGGTTTGGTTTTTCAACATTTCATCTGCAGAAACTTCGCTCACCTTGCCCAGCTGGGGCAAGGAGATCCTGGCAGCTTGAAGAGCCAAATCCCATCTGCTAGCGCCTTGGTGGTTACCAAATTGTGTTCAAGAAAGACATCTAGCATCTAGCAGAATCTTGCACCCAAGAACTGTATACAACATGACTTTTCCGGCCAATCTCATATCAACCCTGTTTGTGACTAGAACAATACAGTTCAATACAGCCAGCCATCGCGTCGGTTTGTCCAGTTTAAACCAAACTGCTCAAATCTGCTCAGAGACCCATCGCCTAAGGTCTATTTGCAGTAACTCTAAAGGTCTAATTACTAAAAGCATCTTAAAGCTACCGATTTCTATCCGATTTTCTGTTCTTGCGAGTTTTCTTACAAGTTCGGAGTGTGTTTGACAAAACAGTTGCCGGAGTCTTGAAATCCACTGACTTCTGGTTTAATCATGAAATTCTTAATCTATGCTGCAGGGGTACTGACTTCCTCACTGAATTTTAGCGTGAAATCGCAGTCATGCATGAATTCAACTACTGTAGGTCAAAGTCCTTCCTTCTAGATGTCCCTTCTCTTCTTTGCTTTCCTCTTCTCTTCTGAAGACTTGTTTGGTGTAATACAGGTGCGCCGGATCCGGCTTTCTTGTGCGCATTTTGCACACAGTTGACGGAACACATATTTTGCCTTGTAATTTGCCGTGCGGTTGGCACTTATGCTCCGAAACTCGAATATTTGATATGTCTTTCTTTCTTTGTGTTTCCTTTTCTCTCCTCTTCCTGTTGTTGGTTCCCTCTCTTGCCAAAAGTGGCATTTTAGGTTCTAATAAAGGTTTTGAACTGCTCTTTTGCTTTTTCTTTTATCTTTCTCGGTCTTCTTTCTGTGATACAGGCTTTGCAGGCTGTTGAAAAGGTTTTTTCAGTCAAGGTGTGCCGGATCACGGCTTTATATGTGTTTTGGTCCCTGTTTGTGAGTGGCTAGAACAATACAGCCAGCCATTGCATTGGTTTGTCCAGATTAAACCATACATACGGTTCACCGACTTGTCGCCTTACTGTTGACCAGCCCAAGGTCTGTTTGCAATACTGTAACCCTCTGTACAGGTCTAATGCATTGCTGAAGACTACCAATTGTGCTCTTACAAGTTTTCTTCTGAGTGTGTGCGTGTGCTGCGTGCGTGTGTGCTATGACATAGTTTTGAATGTTCTGTCAAACGAGCCTGGACTGAGAAGCACTGCTGGAAAGGATAGCGGAAAAAGACTTGTCATTGTCGGAAATGTATTGCCAGCATAGCAGTCACACATGGTCAATAATTATGTCACTGTGACACCGCCTCCTCTAGTGTCTCACACCACCTCATACCGCAAGGACGCTACTAGTAGCTCCTGGCATTACTGCTAGGAACAAGAAGCTACTAGTTACAAGGGCATCGCTACTAGGAGCAAGAAGCTATTAGTAGCTCCTGGCCATACTACTAGTAACAAGTAACAAGAAGCTACTAGTAGCCCCTGTCATCGCTACTAGTAGCTCCTTTCGCCCAGAAACCGCAGCTGTGAGGCCACGAGCTCCTCCAAGTTCAGTCGCCAAGGGCGAGAAGTTTTGGTCGTTGGAGTCTTTGGAGTCCGAAGCGGAGCGAAGCTCCCCCAGAACACCATCAGCTTCGCCGGGGACCTCCAACCTGTGCTGCAATGTCTCGTTGCAAACTATGTTTGCCTTGATTTGGAACATGAGTTGAAGAACTTAGAGGAACATGCTGGAACTTCCCTTTTCAAAAGACTTCGAGTAGCAAATAGCTGTCGAAGAAGCAAGGAAGAGCGCCCAAGAGCTCATCAATGATGCTCACATCCTTAACCCAAGATTGCAGTCTAGCAGCGTCTAGCACCAAACAAAAGGTGTAAGTGTACCCCTTGCTCAGTCACAGCCGTTGAACTTTAACAAAGCTGTTCATTGCTGCCTAGTGCGGGCAAACTACGCCATGAATAGCAGGTGGCACGGGCACTCCACACATCAGAGCCAAGGTTTGAGGACCAGAGAGCCCCTGGAAGATCTGGCAATGCCCATGATACAAAAGACTCTGAATGAAAAGGAAGAAGCAGCGCTTTTCCAGCCTGAAGAGTTGATAAGAACATCTCTACAGTGTCGCGGCTATAGACACCTTAAGAGTTGGGCCACTCGCTCTGGAGGCCTTCGAAAGACACCCTTTGACTCTCGAACGTCACGGATGAGTCATCGGATAGATCGTCCTCCCTTTTTTCCACCCTCAGAAATGCTGCTCCGGTAGGGGAAGCAAGGGCACAGTTTGCAGCAAAGATAGCATCGGCTCCATCATGTCTCATCTTTGCTCTCAGGGCAGATCGGTCCTCGGCATCAAGAGACTTCTGTGACTTGATTCTAGTGACTTCAGCCTTTCCATGATGTCCCTGTAGCATTTGTGGGCAAGTCTCGCTCAAGCTGCCCCAATTCAGCGCTTGAACATGCCAGTCAGCACAGCCTGCAACTTTCTCTGTACTTCAGCTTTGGGGTCAATGATATTGAGCGTTACATGAAAAGAAACCTTTTCGGGAAACGGTGCCTTGTCAGGCTTTTGGCAGAAAGTAGTTGTCAAGAAACTTGCCTTACTTTTTTGTAATATTACAGTATATCGTTGAGGGGGGTGACTGACAGGCACCTCTCTCTCTCCTTCCGTGCTGCGCTTCGTGATGGATTGGACACGGCAGCGGGGCTCACAATTGTCAACCCAAACGGGTCAGTGTCAGCCACGCTCTCCCAACGCTGCTTCCCTTCGATATTACACATCTGAACATGCCTTCGCAGTCGTTCAGTGAGAGGTTGTATCGCAAATGTGGCAGGATCTCTGCCAAGTCTGTTGCAATCACGCTGGCTCCCATTTGAAGCAGGGCCTGAGTGTGAACACATGTCAGAAATAGAAATCAAACCAAGCTGCAGCAAGGTGAATGGATAATATCTCATTTTGACGAGGTGCACTGCTGACCAAGCCACAGCCAGAACCCAATTCCAACACTTGACAGCCATGCCAATTTTGAGGCACCTCGGCATTCCAAGAATAGACACTGCTTCTGGGGAGCCTGGTGGAAAGTGGCAACCTATATAAATAAAGTCCAGGCGTCGGCACTTTGAAAGCTAGCATTGGGTTCAAAATTTGAGAACATTAAACAAAATAGAGTCTCCTCGGGGTGAGAATGACCACGAAGAGTGATCCTGCCTGACTCTCTGTTGCAAAACTTTCAGTGCTCAGTCATGCACCTCCGCCGCCCACCTAGCCAAGTCCTCGCGATCAGCACGCATTACTCGTTGCAACATGGGGCGTGCAAAAGCAACGGCCAAACATACAGTACAACTAGAAAGTTCTCAGAGCTCTCCTGTTGCTACAGGAAGGGTCGCTCCAGCAACTACTGCTGACGCGACTATACGCTATCAAACGATTGTCTTTGTGCAAGGCTACACTCGTATATACAAACAATGCTGCTACGACTGCTAGCGATAGTGCTATTGGTTACTACTAACACGCAACCACCACAACCACGACAACAGCAAAAGAAGATTACTATGGCAGAACCAGCAGCAGAAACGGAGACAATGGCACCAGCAGCAAGAATCAACAAGTACAAAGAGAGCGCGAAGACAACGACGGCAGCAGCAGAATGACTGCTGCAACTGCAAATGCGCGGCAACGCAACCCCAATAGAAACTGCGACAACGACCGCAACAAAAGCTATTTATGTTTAAAGAATGGTGGTGTGGCTCCTCCTAGCTACTCGTTCAAAAATGCCTCAATTGTTTGGGGTGGGAATGAGGGCGTGAAGGAATGTGCATTCTCAGCTGCGAACACAACACCAGAATGTGCTCTGGCACATCATGCAAAGAATGGGGCCAACGCCTTGGAGGCACGAGTCACCACCCCACCAATGGCATTCTCCATGAAATCCTGCAAGTTGAGCAAAACATCAACGCGCGGTGTTACAGCTTGCATTATCTTGCCTTAAATTCCAACGGAAAAAGCAACATGAAGCGAAAATGAGAGGCGATTTGACAAGAGGTGAAGCAAAACGGCATAGAGTCATAGAGCGCACGGCCAGCTAGAACCTCTTTTCGTGTCTGTCGGGGAACAATGGGCGGAGCCGCAGAGCTCATTGCATGGCCAACTTGTTTATGTTCGTGTGGTGCAAGGAGCCGCATTTACTAGTACAAAAGATCAAACCGACCAAAACCAAAGATTGCATTGCCTTTCTAGATGCCTGATAGGTGCGGTCTCTACATGACTTCCCTTGGTGAAGTTCAAAAGGAAAAACTCGGTTCGAGCTCAAGCTACCTTGCATAGTCATACGGATAATACATGCAAAAAAAAAAGCTAAAAAAACTAATGCCACAAACAAAAAGCTCAAGGTGCACCTCGTAGGTTCGCACAACCAGCTTTCCGAAGTGGTGCTGCTTCTCCCCAGCCTAAATTGGTGAAGCAAGCCCAAGCCCCCCTTCTCCCACCCAACAATGTGCATCAACTCGCAACAAAGACCTTCCAAGATGTGGTGAAGTAAGCAAAAAAATGAGATGTGCATAAAGTTAAGGCATACTGAGCAGCAAATTCATCAAAATCATGCTCCTGCTCCTCTCAGTAGCTTTGTTAGGCGACAGTCCATGCGTCCATGTGAGGAAAACGCTCATTGTCGGAGCCACAAAGAAGTATTGCGTGTGGATCAAAATCTCTCATGAAAGTGGATCATAAAACAATATAAAATCCCTGTCCAACTCCCCAAACTCTCAAATCTCCTGGTCAGCCATAGCGATGCCGTTTGGAAGTAGAATCTGGGAGCCATTGCATGCACGCACCGCCCGAGAAGCTGATGGAAACGTTAATGTTGAGATGCTGGGCTCATGTTTATGGATCGGGCATTGGCTCGACTCTACATAGGCCACAACAAAGAGAGACAGCAAGTTGCAAGTGGCTGCAATTTGGATGTCTGTGGTTTTGACCGGAGCCGAAAGAAATGAATTGAAGTCAGTAAGCCAGTCGCATTCGCTCAATGCCTGCTGGCGTGCTGCTGTACCAAACCTTTTGTTGCCTTGAGGTCAGCTCTTGCAGCCCGCATAGTTCATGAAACGAATCTTGCCGAAGACCTCAAGCTCTTGAGTGCCCCACATGCTCTCCACAACAAACTCCAGACTTCACGAGATTGTCACATTCGGAACATGTGGCTGAAAAAAGAATAAGGCAACGACGGGTCTTTCCTTCCATCCCATGTCATGAACCTGAATGCTGCTATAGAATGCTATATATATATATGTGTGTGTGAAAACATCTGAAGCAAAGTGCAGGGTGTCTGCTTGCGTCTTTCCGTTGGGCGCAGCTTTAATCCGCGTCTGTTCTAAGTTGTTTCTTTCCGTGATTTGTTTCAGAATCCTGGGGCCTCAGAGCTCGCTGCTATTTACAGCAGTTTGATATACAGTATATACACCCTTTACACCCTTTGGACATGCACCCTTTACACCCGCAGCTGATGTCAGCAGTTGGGGCCTCCTCCAAATTGTAGCCCGAACTGGCTCACAGAAGGTAAGCCACGTTGGAATGGCTCCCTGCTCCTAAACTTTACGCTCGGTTGGCTCACAAAAACCATGCTCGTTGGAATGGTTCCTTCCCCCTTTAGTTGTCCATCGGAATGATTCCCTTCCTAATCCAAATTTTGCTCTCAGTTGGCCCACAACAGGAATGCTACGTTGGAGTGGCTCCTTCCTCCACTATTTTCGATCCTGAGTGCAAAAGTAGAGAGTGCACTTGAAGATCTGTAATTGTTCCCGTTGTCATGGCATTAAGCAGCCGCGCCGAAAAAATTGCCTTAAGAAGTTGTAAAGGACAGGCTTGCTGTGGATGCCAGTCTAGCTGCAGCAAAGGAAGCAATAGGGAGCAATGATGAGTCAGCTTGAGAAGACGTAGCACACATTTCGTATATACAAGTTGTTGGTGCACCGGACATCAAAAACCAAATCAGTTTTCGTGGCAGGCGCTGCAAGTGGAGGAAATAATAGTGCAGATTTCGTGGCGCTGGAGGGGAGGGGTTGGGGAGGAGGGCGCAGCGCTTCCCCCCTATAGCGAGCCAAACAGAACAAATACATTTAAAAAGCAACTAAAACAGAAAAGCAAAGGAGAAACAAAAGCAAAGGCCCGCACCAAAAGCACAAAACAGCAACAAAACAAACAAAAGTAAAGGCAAACACCAAAAGCACGAAAGCAAAAAAGCGGCAAAAGCAAAATGCAGATCTTGCTTTAAAAAGAAACCATTACCATATTTCAAAAAAACAAAACACACACACAACCCTTTCCGTTTGACTAGGTGGAGTACCCCGCAAATGCTCCACATACAGCCCACATAACCATTCGGATCCCTGCCTGACAAGGCAGTGCAAACAAACATACAGCTGAAACATGCTGAAATACACGACATAGATTGCACCATCTTGATTTCCATCGGGCACCATTGGTGCCGCACCATCCAGCTCATAGCGGTCATTCAATTCAATGGATCGCTGCAAAGCCTCCTTTGGAGATGGCCTGAGTCGAAGCACCTCTCTAAACACAGCAACCCCTCCGAAGGTGCACAAGATTGAGGTGAAAAAGCGGTGAACAGCTTTAGCATGCTCTAGCAAGGGCACCAAAGGGCCCAGCGACCACTCAAGGATCTTCTTGGCCTCGATTCTCAGGAAACGGAAAAAGCAGGAAAACAGGAAAGCAAAAAAGATCAAAAAAGCAACAGGAAAACAAATGCGGAGGGAAGTAAGGAAAGGTGCAGAAAAGTTCAAAAAGGTTCAAAGGGCTCCGTAGTGAAAGGGTCGACGATATTGACTGGTAGAGTGACCAGTAGCACTACCAAAAAGGTGAAGCACATCTCGATTCTGGTCTGCCCCATCTCCTTTCTCTGCTTCTTCTCGTTCTTCCCTACTTCTTGCCAAGTCTCCCAGTACATCCGCAGAAAGCCATGCATTTTTCCCTGGCGGAAGCTGGACACTCCAACTGCAAAACTTGCCTATTGTCAAACCAAGACATCTTCTCAGGCAACACGAGAAGTACGGGTACGGCCAAGCCAAAGCAAGCTGCTTGCTCAGCGCTGCTTGTTCTTAAGAGATGACAATGTGTTTGCCTTCAACGACTTCACGTTCCTTTCCGAATCCCAAAGTGGCTGAAATGCCAAACTGCCAAACACTCCATATCTGCTGGCAGCCGCTTCTCGTATTTCTCTCTCTCTCTCTATCTCTCTCCATTTCTCTCACCGCCAGCCTCAATCTGTGTGTCTTCGGCTTGTGAGCGCACAATGCAATAAGGAAGTTGTTTCAACTTCCCACGCTTCCACTATGGCCAAAGCATTTTCAATGCGGCCAACACTTGTGAAAAGACTGGCGGCTGATTCCAAACCCTAGGCCCTACGATCTCAAATGGCGAGCATTCTCAAGTAATGGTAGGGTCCTTCGGACAAAATCCGGGCGTACCCTACTCTGCAGCACTGGCTCCTTGCTTTCGGGAGGTGGCTTTGGCTTAGGCAGGACCAGTGGTGCAGTCTTTCCAATCATTTGCCGACGTTCGAGTTGCAGTTTTGCGCCAATCTTTACCGCACCTAAATGTCTGCGTCTCATTGATTCTGAATGCAAGTTGACGAGTTCATGCTCCAACTCCCTGATTTCCGAAAGGATCTCCCCACGCCTCTCCAGCAGCGCACGTTTGTTTTTGGCCGTCTTTGCCATCATGTTCACTTGCTCCACTTCGAGTTGTGCCCGATGGATACCACTTTGAATAATGCCCATGCTTCGATACAACTCGTTGCTCTCAAGATCTCCAAGCGGGCCTGTGCCAAATAAGCGTCGTGGCCTCGTACTGTAGGACCTGGCTTGTGATGCATCTTTGGCCTCCGCATGTTGAGGTAGAGCCGAGCTGGCCTGCCATGCAATGCTATGTGCTGAACCAGCCACACTGGAGACTCTACAAATTGATAATTTCAGCTTGCCATGCTTGCTAATGCTTGACTCTAACAGTGCCTGGAACATGCGCTGGCTAGTGCCTCAAGAGGATGAAAACTATATATAGAGCCTTGGCACCTCTTGCCTCTAGATTCCACTTGCGGAGCTATTCCTGCTGCAACCCTGACCGATGCGCGACGGCAATTTTTGACCATGGCGAAGCTAAAGGCTGCGCAAATTTGCTCTGCCTGTAGCAGAAATAGTGCATATTGCACCCACTGCTTTGGCAGTGTGGGACAGGTTTCTGCTCTAGCACTGCGGGAGTCTTCTGCGGGAATACCATGATCAAAGTCCTAGCCTCAATGGCTGCCAGGCTTGAATGAAATGATCTTTCATCGCATGCAACTTACTTATCCCAACAGTTGACTGAAATCATACCAAAGTAAGTTCAGCCATGTGACACGAATGCCTTGGAGGTCTTTATTTTGTTCTGCACCTCAGCTGGTCTCTGCTGCTTGGGAATGCGACTGCTGCAATGGTCGGTGGTTGGTTGCTTGGGCCCGGACGGCCAGGTAGTACTCGTGGCTGCCCCCAAACATCAGTCTAAGGATGTTCGAGGATTCCTGCATTTGGAACGAACGTGGTGGCTATGTGTCACCATGCAGTCTCCAAACCTTTCCCGCTCTCTGTGCCTGCAAAATTGGCACCAGTCGGGCTCCCATTTGTCTTTTGACATCTTGACTTGCCTGGACCTGTTGGCAAGTAGACTGAAGTTCAGCAATTGGCAAACTGGCGTGCGAACCTCCTTATACTTTGGGCCATGCCCAAGCATCTCCAGCAACCTATCGGCCTGGCAAGCAATTTGCCCTCAACAACTTCACCACAGCATGTGCTTTCACCGGCCTGGTGCTCCAAAGTCCACGCAAGCGTGCCGCTGGGGCCAGGAAAGTACGCCTTTATAACGACAACTGCCGTACTGCAATAGCAATGTGTCATTGAATTTGATGCTGAACAAGCTCCACGACAGAAAGGCCTTTCGTTGGTAGTCAGTTCTGAGATCAAGAAATCTCAACTCTTCCTGCCACCGTCCAGCCTACAAGGCATAGAACATTCTGAAATGTATGAGCTCTTTGCTGCTGGTTTCCTAGCGTTGCTCTGATATGTTCGGCTCTAGCCTGTTTGTTCCAATTCTCAAGGTGCTCCCATAGTCTGTCGCAGAGCCAATGCTGAGGGCCAACAACGCCGTCATTGCCCTGGAGCTTTGAATCAATGGCACCGACATTGCATCAGGGGACTATCCACATGGCCACTTAAAACTACGAACACCGGGAAATGTGATGCAGGCCCTTCACACGGCAATATTGGGAGACAAGCTGGAACCCACCCACACCTCTGGAACGCAAACCTGTCTTGTAGGGAAAACTGAAAAAAGAATATAACTAGCACAGCTTGTTGAGTAGATTCTTTGAGAAAGCCTCTGTGGCTGTGAAGGCCAGCAAACGTTTGGCATCCTGTTCTTTCAGCGCCTGCGCAAAACACTCTGGGAGCGAGGATGGAGCACATGGACATGACATGTGAACACACTCCGCGGCATGTTGTAATGTCACATCGACAGCGCCATGTTTCTCTAGGAGATGGTTAGCCGTCATATGTGCTTCGGTTTTGGATGCCTGCCTTCTGAATACTCCGCCGCTCCTCTAGAGCAGCATCCAGTTTTTTCAGTTCAGCCTCTAAACTGCAAAATCTTGTCCACAATGAGACTCTTGTCAAGCTAAATTGGTTGGCCTCCAAAGCTTCTTCTGCATCTAGCATTATCTTTGCATCGGCTGGCGTCACCTCCACGCATGAGAAGACTTGTCCTCTATGGTGCGGCACTCTTGAATCAAATGATGAATTTGCACATCGAGGTGTCTCCAGCTTGATCCAAGATGGACAGAGATTGGGAGACAACTTGGTGACCACTCTTGTGCCCCCAAGCCACGCGCACAAATTTACGTGGAAAGCTGGGAGACAAAGTGGGAGACTAAGGAAGGCAAAGTTGAAACGGTGCGTCCATGGGTCCAGAAGTTTATACTGCCGAACCATTCACAGACCCTATGGCAGCGTGATAGAAATCAGGGCTCACGGACTCACCGATGCAGACAGCGCGAAGCGTTGCATCAAGAAGAGCTGGACTCATTGACCCGGAGCCAGTCGCAATGCCAATCGCAAGTGATATGCAACATTGGCTCAACCGCAATGGTGCGTTCGAAAAGAGACACGCTTTGGGAGAAAGGTGTGAGACAAAGCCTAGTGGCGAGAGGCAAGCGGGAGAATGGTGCGAGAAAGCCAGAATGGTGAGTAACAGAGCGCCAAATAGCTAAAGAGATAGGCTGAGGTTGTGGGAGAACAGTCTGCCAATAAGATGCATCCCAAGTGAGAGAGAAGCTAGGAGAAAGCCTGCAAGAATCCTAGAAATACCTGTACACCTGTGTAGGGGACTATAGTACGATACGTTAATGCATGACTTCCATCTTGTGCAGTGCATGCCGCAGCATCCTTCCCGTTGGACTTGCATCCCGCAAAAGAAACAAACGGAAACCACACCTTTGCCGAACAGCTCGTGCAAGTAACAAGTTGCAGACCCTGCCCTTCTTCGAACCTCAACTTTTACAGTAAGCAAGACCTTTTACCAAGAGATCATCCCAAGCCAAACTGAATCTCAACGACACAATGAATCACAGCAAGGGGTGAAATGAAAACGTTGGTGTTGGCCCGCTCTAAGGTTAGGGCACTAGTGGGTGAAATACCTCAGTAAGAAACATCAGGGCTTGCGGACTGGGACAAAAGTAATATGGGCAAACCTTTACCTGATTGACACTTTCAATGATGTGGCAAGCATTTCTAGCAGCAAAGTGTAGGGATCTGGCTCCACACGCCCCGCACTTTTTACAGCGAAACCCTCTGCAAGGGTCAACGCCAACCTGACAGATTCCATGTCAACAAACATCAAACACTCAAATAAAGTAAAGAAAAACATGATTACTTTGTAATAACAGGACACAAAAGAGGCGGACTTACCATCAGTGCCTTCTTTTTGTCCTTCCATTATCTTCCATTATACATGCATCCAAAAATGCAACAACCCTGTACTCAGTAGTCTCTCACCTCGTCCGGTGGTATTGGTGCACACCTCTCGCAAGTGCAATCAAACTGCTTGGTGCTCTTCAATGACCTCCAGGTGGCAGAAACAAATGTGGAGTGAAAACTATACTGTACCAATCAGACATGCTCAGCATCGCCTAGATTAGTCCTGAAGAAATTGATAGCAGGTTGCAAGAAACCCCGCTTGCGAAAACATGTGCGTCGAATTTGTCAAAGCTTTGCTTTCCAAAATTGCACAACCAACCACACTGTGTCCATGTAGAGAGCTTCGGGCTACTAGTGACACCAAAGGTTCACTGCCACCACGATTGAATGTTCCTAATTATGGACTTCAATTGCAGTGATGCGGCAGTTCCCCAAAATCAATGCTTGAGGAACTTGGCAGAGAGATTGGCTCCCGCCACCAAAGTGAGTCAAGAAACTTCTTCCGCTCTTCTGCGGAATGGAGTAGGACATCCTCTGGGAGGTATGAGATACAAACCTGGACAGCTTGTGAAAAGGCCAGTGACTGCAGTAGTAGTTTTCTTGAGGCCAACGCCTCATCGCCCGGCTTTATATCCCTTCTAGCCTGGCAAGAGGTGCACAGAAATTTACGTCCATCACCTCACTTGACCATGCCAGCAGGACCCTGAGAATGTGAAGGCCATCCTCACCCTCGCTCCAAATGCCATTCCTCGAAGTAGTCTGTGCACTTCGCAGCACGACAACCACAAAATGGACTGGTTACTAGTTGGTATCCAAGGCTCGCCCCGCAAGAGTGTGAAACAAACGATGATGCAAAATAGGCAGAATATCCCAAGGGATCCTCTGAGTGCTCAAAGCCTCAGGATACTACAAAGTCCAAAACAGTCATCAGTGTGGACAATCAAAAACTTAGCTCTGGTTCAGCCAGGCCACAGTTTAGAATCCAAGCCTCAAATAGGACTTGGGACAATCAATGGGGTGGTAATGATTCAACGACTGCAACCATTAGATTACACAATATGGATTCTCAATGATATTCCCCTCTGGGCTTCTCAAAGTCACAAATCGAACACAAACCAACTAAATGTTCTCCAAGCTCAGAGAAGCTGCTTGAAGGAGTTCCTCCACCACTATCGGAGACACAGAAAGGCCTAGCTGCTTCACCAGTTTCTTGACAGCTTCGGAAGCCTGGCGTCAAAGCGGGAACTATCAGTGTTCAAGCTAACAGTCCAAACCAAGAAGAATGCAAGGGCTTCCTCCTCAACTGGCTCATGAAACAGGCACAGCAAGCGCTTCTGCCTTGGACAGTCCAGAGTCGAAACATGCAAAAGCGTCAGTCATTGACCGTGAAGCGTCGATCTGCTTCCGAGAATGGCCCTAATTGGTAGTTCAATACATGCCCGCCACTGAGATTGCCTTTTGGAAAGTCCTCGGGCCCTCCAGACTGGCGTGTCCATCAATGATCGATACAAAAGGGGCAGAAACTTAATGACACAACCTGTGGTGGCCACCCTGCAGCGTCGTGAGATGCCGTGAGGCACGCACAATGATTTTTTGCTATGGCCCCTGCTCCAAAAGTAAACATTTCAAAGAAACCCAGTGACATGGCCAGAGCAGCAGGATCTGTGGTGCCTCCCACTGCTCTGCCTGCTTATGATGAGGTGGCGCACAACGCACACTTTAAGATTTCTTGTTGCCACGCGATGCAGTGACCTTTGACAATCCATGACAATCCAACCTGTGTGCATGTGTGTGTTTGTGTGTACTCACGGCTTGTACAGTATACATGCACGTCGTTGTGCTCGAGGTGGCTTGCCAAGGCCGATTGTCATGATAGTTGATGACTACCCTGGGCCGCGGACAGTTTGGAAAGAGCGAGCCTAACTCTGGAAGAAAAACACATCAATTGCAAGCAAGTCTCTGGAGCGGGGTAACTGGCTTGAGCCATCCAACTTTGGGCTTCGGCTGAAGTTGCTCCTATCCAGTTGGGCAGCTCAAGACAATGTCTTTCATTCCTAATCAAGGTCGCGTAGAATTTTTTAATACAGTAGTAAATGTCGACGCCTCCGTCAAGGAACACAAAGCTGTCCAATACCACAAAGGCTCATAGTCAAACACTGTCGGCTCCTTAGCTTATTCTCCCTACAGTCATCAGCACTCAATGATTTCAGCACGCGAAGTCTTCAGCCAAGAGACAGCCTTGCAGAGTCGTTGAACAAGCTTGAATGCCTCCAACACTCACTCAGAACGCTACTAGGAGCAAAGGGCATCTCTACTAGGAGCAAGGACGCCACTAGGGGCTCCTGGCCTTTCTACTAGGAACAAGAACGCTACTAGGAGCAAGCCAAGGAAAAAGATGTCAGAGCTGGGAGGTCGCAGCCCAAGCTACCTCGTTTGCTGCTTCTTCGGCGACAATATGCAAAGGGGGCTCCTTTGGGAGCTGGGTGCCGAGCTGTGCTAGTTGAGTTCACTGCAGAAGCCTTTTCATTGCAGTGTTCACCCTCGCGCTCCTGGAAGAGCAGCTCACCTTGAGGAACTTCCTTCTTTGCAATCATGATCCTGCCAAGGAAAACCAATCCTATTTACATTTAATCACTGTCACTATGTCAAAACTCTCTCAGGATCTCTTTAGATCACCATTCCCAAATCATACAACTTACAACCACATCACTCCGTAAACATGGACAGTCAGAATCCCTGTGTCATGTCCTGCCCTTGCCCTCTGCAAGGGTGCATTCGAAGTCTCCATGAAAGTGCTCACGACAGTATTGATTGATCGTGTCCTTGGATTTGAGCTTCATGCTTCACTCGTCGCCGATCACTCAGCAAAACAGAAATGAGAGTGGAATAACAAGTTTGTCATGGATGCAGAGATGGCGCTATGTCCCAGTCTTCCATCCCAGCACTTTGGCTTATGCCACCCACTTTTGTCGGTGCTGATGCCTGACAAGGATCAAGTCTGTTGGAACGGACCCCTTTACAGTGTACGTGCATTAGATGCCCCTGCATAATTTTTTGCATGTACAACCATCTGTCAGCCATCGATGAGGCCCTTATTTTAGCCTTTGCTTCGCTTCTTTTCATTGTATTTTATGTGTCTTCTTGTTGGTTGCATCGGCATCTCCAATCATCTGATGCAAACGAGCCACTTCGCCCGGTCTGCCCAAGCCAACGCGACTTGAGCCAGCTTTCTGCGGGCAAGTCCGGCAGTTTCTGCATTGGCATGAAAAAGACACCCTGCATTGCCCCAGCTGCAGCATGTCACGTATCAGGTGCATGACTCAGGCAGTGGCCGTGTGACCACTGCAACGATCAAAATAAGGCCAGCCAGGCTAAACATTGCGGCTGAGGCTGCTACCCGCTCGTGACATATATGCAGTATATGTATATATGTATATATACTTAAATTAAATATACAAACAAACATGTGGGAACTGTAGTTGCCCAAAGGGTGTGAGGATCTGGATGCGTTTCTTTTCAGCATTGCGCTCATGTGTGCAATTGATTTTCAAAAGCCTTAATGAGGTGTAGGCAGTGTAGGCCCTTCTTCTCTTGACGATGGGGCAGGGCAGGCCACATGCCAAACTAGGTGAGGACAACACACACAATACTGTATACACAATTATAAACGATTATGCATTTGGATCCACCCTGCGCCCAGAACTGCCAAAACATCCCAATCAAGAAAGATCCAACAAGAAGTAAAGTCTCAGAAGGGCATACACAACATTACATATATAGTCATATATAATTATCCGCTAGATGCCGCCGCTAGCCGAATTGATTGCATCAAACAAATCGCAAAGGAGCCAAGACCACCTCTGAAAATCCGAGTTTTGTAGCAAACCGCCGACGCAGGCTTTTTCTTTTTCTCTCTCTCTCCCTCTCTCTCTCTCTCTCTACACGGCCAAAAAGTCACCTCCTGGACCATCTGCTGCTGCGAAGCATTCCACAAGTCCTACGAGCACATCGCTCAAACAAAGGTCGCCGGACAAGCAAACAACAGTGCCAAAGAGCATGTTGCTTGTTCACTGTTTCGCAAGTGGTTGGTGCAACATGCATGAATGACCCAGCATAGTATCAGCCAAGTCTCGTCATGTGTCTTGCCACCCTCCAGTTCCTTGAGTGACCCCAACAAAGTGGCTTCAAAAACAGCCAAAGCAAGTCAGCCTCCATGGTGTACAGGTGCTCGCGCTTGTCTTTCGCATGGTCCTGCAATAATTGGGAATAATGCTCGCCATCTCCATGCTGATCCACTCCGAAGGATTTCCCTCTCTCTCTCTCTCTCTCGTGCTAGGTTTAACGGCTTAGCTGCTCGGGTAGCCTTCAGAGTCTGCTGCGCCCAAGCCGCAGCTCCTTCCAGGCTGTCATACTTATCCTTGGACAAACCCCCACAAAAGTCAAAGTGGCTGCACACTGCCAGAAACTACCAATGGGTGCATTACCGGGTACCAGTGCCACGAGTACCTCATCTTATCTGCCAAGGCTCGTTGTAGAAACAGAAGTTGTCCGACCTCAGGGATGCCAACTCTGGAGTCCAACAATCAGGACGTGCACATTAGATCCTACACAAGGCTCTCAAGATTGAGAAGTCGGTGCACCAGCTGATCAAGCGCCAGGCAGCTCGCGTCTAACAACTGATTCTTCTATAAAGGCCTCATCTGGATGCACCCACCCGCCATGAAAGCGCCAATCGTGTACCATGTGCGCTGAGCTGGGTTTCGGGCAACCTTTCTGAACACTTGAAGAAGCTCCTTTGGCTTCTCCAACTTTACGTACCTTACATGCCTCGTGCAACAAAGCTGTTTGAAACAGGAAGACGGCGATCGAGTGTTGGGAACGTACACGCGCTGTCGAAAACCGGAGGGCTGAGGAAAGGAAGCAAAAAACAAGTGGATGCATATTATATAAGAGCATTCATGGAACAGAACTTAAGTTCAAAAGAGACTATGGCCAGCACTTCTGGCACATTCTTTGCATATGCATGCATGCATATGCCACCTACGTGGTACAACGACCCACACACACTTAGGATAGGGTGTACTGAACTGAAAGCGGTGCCACACGCCGGCCTAGGGTTCCATTTCCTAAGGGTACACGTACGAACCACTGGATCCTGGAGGTCTTCAAG